AGGACACTATACCGTAAACAGGCACCGTCCTTCGGATGAGACATGAAACCGAGGTCCTGACTCTGTGGTCATTAAAAATCCCAGGGCGTTTCTTGAAAAGAGTAGGGGTGTAACCCCGGCATCCTGGCCAAATTTCCCATTGGCCCTTACCAATCATGGCCTCCTAATAATCCCCCTCATATGAATTGGCTTCATCAGTCTGCTCTCCTCCCCAATGATAGCTGATGTGTGGTGAGCATTCTGGCACACTATGGCTGCCGTCGCATCATCCAGGTGGATGCTGCACATTGGTGGTGGTGGAGGGGAAACTCATTACCTGTAAAGCGCTTTGAGTGGAGTGTCCAGAAAAGTGCTATATGAGTATAAGCAATTATTAATTGTAAGCAATACTTTGTTCATTGCATTATGCAGTGCTTTTCACATATGTTAATGAAATCAGATCTTAAGTGTAATTTATAAAACAAAACTAAATAAAATAAATGCTTTTGTTATTATTTATCATGTATCACAGAACAGAAAAATCACTGTAACTCAAGCCCACAAAGAGTTCTAATGCAATACATGAACTAAGAAAGATTATCATGGGAATGTCAGTATAGGTTTCCTTTTAAAAATGTATTCCTTTCATTTCATTTTATTTTTTTAAGGAAACTTACATTACTATGAAAATTCTATTGAACTTGGATAAAAAATCTTGCACTGCTGAATGCAGAATCCAAATCTATAACATTAAAATCACCTATTAGAGAATTGAAATGAAAACCTGCCCTGAAAGTAAGACATTACCAACAATGACCACACGGTGGAGATATTGTCCTCCATGTTAAGAATGGCAAAGCTGAGATAAGGTAAAAGCAGTAGTAATGCATTGAATTTGAAAAAAATAGTTCTTTATTTCTAAATTAAAAAGCCAAAAAGTTATGCTGTAGTGCGGTATCACTGTTAACTTTGTGCTACTATGTGCTCTACTAAAATCACCAGGTGGATGCTGCACGTTGGTGGTGGTGGAGGGGAGTCCCCATTACCTGTAAAAGCGCTTTGAGTGGAGTGTCCAGAAAAGCGCTATATAAGTGTAAGCAATTATTATAATTATTATTAATTACTATGCAAGAGCTGCTTATGTTTTGGCACTATGGAACTCCAAAGCACTCTGGAGTAAGGAGCACTCTGCCCTTTGAGACACACCTATGAATGTTGCACAAATTATCATTGCATTGTGCATTAGGGACTAAATATACTAAAAGTAATATTTAAAATCTTTTTATTTCACTCATGTTAATTAAATAAATTCTTACATGCGTTTTTAAAAACAAATCTAATTAAAATAAATGTTTTTATATTGTACCATAGAACATGAAAACCTTTTCTAATTCAAGCCCACAAACTGTCTTAATGATGCAATACATGATCTAAGGAAGATTATCACGGTAATATCAATATTGTTTTCCTCATAAAAATGCATTCCTTTCATTTTGTTTTGTTTTGTTAAATAAACTCACATTATCTACAGTAGAGGCCTTCATTTAAAAAAAAATAGCACTGCTAAATGCTCAATTCAAATCAATAAAAATAAAATAATCAAATAGATAATTGAAAAAACATTTTCCCTCAAGACATTACTATCAAGGTGGAGATATTGTCCTTAAAAGTTAGGAAAGGCAGAACTGAGAAAAGGTAAAAGGAATTGAAATGCATTGAATTTTGAAAAAAATACAGTATTATTTTCTAAATGAAAACGCGAAACAGTAATGCTGTAGTGTGGTTTTGCTGTTACCTTTGTACTATGATAGAATCTACTAAGCAAGAGTTGTTTATGTTTAAGCAGTATGGAACTCTGAAGCACTCTGGAGTATTGAACTCTATTCTGTTGACATTGCCTGTAATTAATACCAGTGACAAATACCCACACATGACATTAAAAATATCAATCACATAGTATTGAGGGCAGAGCCACAGGATCACTGCAAATACTTCACTAAATCCACTTTTCCTGCTCCTTTGACATTATCCAGAATTTGTCATTTCTTAAAAGACCTGTCTGTCCGACTGCAGATCCGCAGCACCCGGCTCATTTCTTAAAAGACCTCTCAACCACACTTTAGACTTTACACTTTAGATAGAATATGCATATAATCGTTAGAATGAACAGAGAAGCATGTTTTGATGAGTTGTGAACATTTCTGTCAATTTCTGAAAGTGGATGAAGTTTTTGAAACACTAGTCACTTTGGATAGACAGAATATGGATAAAATTTTTAGACTGAACATGTGTTTTGTTGCCTCCAACAAAGGAGACACAATCTGGAGATTGTATGAAGCAGGCATTACCATTATTACGTCTGCATATGGGAGCCAAAGCCGATGAAGCCATGACTCTACTTATTGATACAAAAGGACACGTTTTATACAAAATCACAAACAGATAACCCACCCAGAACAGTTTCAGTACAGTTCCATGCCATATATCGTGTAAAGCCAAGGCTGTGCCTTGGTACATAATAAACTATAAGAATTGTAAGAATATTCTTGGGCTCCTTTAATAATTGTTTAAGATATTATGTACTTCTAGAATTTGTTAATCATGACTTAAGCAGATATCAGGCAC